TTAGCTGAGAGATTTCTTGTCTCCACAAGGGATCAGCTGATGCCAAGGGAAACTCAAAGGAAGGATCACTTTGCCTTTTGATTTCTTAGCATCCCTGGATTCTTAGCTTCTCTTAGTCAAAAATATCCTGTGTCTGCTCGGGATGAACTGAACATTCATTTGATAGACATCTACTTCTTGTCTTCCTAAATATTAGCCCAGGGATAGAAAACCGAGTTTGTCTGCAGAAGATCACAGATAAGTAGGGGAAAGTCCTTTTTCTTCTTCTCCTGAAATGTGAGAAAATCTCTGCCAATTTAATATGAGCTGTACCATATTTAAGAGGGACAGTTTATTGTAGTGGTTAAGGCCCTATACTAGAAGCAAGGAGACCATAAGTTCTAGTTGCTAACATTGGATTCGGCTGTTGGCCTTGTAGCACAGTACATGCATTGCATTCCATCAGTTTGTAGATTTAATTTATTTAATTTAAGAGCTTCAGATAAGTGGGTAAAAAAGGTCCTTTCTAAAGCTCAGAATGTCAACCAAAAAATACTTCTTTGGTCTTTTTAGTTGCCAGCAGAAAGGGAGTGGAGAGTAGTGCATTCCTGAAATGCTTCAGATAATTGCTAGGCAGCCCGAAGCTGTTGGCGGGCAAGATTATTACTGGAGAGCATGATGGATGACTCTTGGCTATGGATGTGTCCCATTGGAGAATATACATCCAGGGGGTGGGGGAAAGACCAGGGTCAAGAGGGAAATGAATTATGTGTCTTAGGGTCAGCTGCACCCAGGTAATGCCGACATGGTCACTCCTAATAAATCAATTTTTTTTTACTCTGAGAGATGCGGCTAGAAATTTATGATTTGAATGGGGTTGGTTTGTTGGAGCCCTGACACAGAGGACCTGCTTCCAGCCACTGTTGACAGTACTGAAGTAGTTGGACCAACAGATTGGCCTGAATATGGGGATTCATTCACTGTAGTCATGGCTAACGGACTTCATAATACATTGGTTGAAAAGTTACTACCCTTTTTAAAAATTAAAGCATCCATTCCAGCCTCTTAATCAGAGATTCCCCAAGTGCCTAGCAATATTTATCCAAAATCCAATAGAAAATGATACAGCCCTAAACATAATTTGGAACAAATGAAACTAAAATAGCTAATGGGCCACTAAAAAAAAGCCTTCCAGGACATCAACAGATACGTAGCAACTGGAAAAAGACAGAAGGGCTTTCTGAAGGTGAAGCCTGCTAAATGTCAGAAACCAAAGGCAACGTTTGGACAAAATCTTTTAACTTCATGAAACATACTCATGCATTTGTTTTTAAATTTACTGCATTATTTTTCAGGTAGTCTAATACCTTATTTATTTAAAACAACGTAGTCCTCGAACATGATGATTCATTTAGTCATTCATTCAGTGTCATTTTTCAGTGTCATTCATTCAAACTTATGACACTGAAAAAAGTGACTTACAACAGGTACTCATAGTTAAAACCACTGCAGTATCCCCATGGTCACAGGATCAAGATTCAGGTGTTTGGCAATTGGTACATATTTACCAGGATTGCAGAGTCCCAGGGTCAGGTGACCATCATTTGCCATTATTTCATTTTCATTTTATTTTTTTTATTTTATTTTTTAAATTTGTGGTGCCTCCTATCTCATCTGGAGATGACTAGATGGCTTACAAAACATTAAAAACAGATACACTTTAAAATGATAAAACAATAACTAACAATACTAATGATAATTTACAAGCACAAAGTACATGGGGAGAGGTGGGGTCTTAATCCAGTAGCCTCCTCCAGAGTGGTGCCGCTTCCCGTAGAGGCCCCAGGCCAAGTGGTAGAGCCAGGTCTTCAGGTCAGGAGGGTGGGTGGGTGCAGATCTCATCTGGAGGGTTTGCCCTAGTTTACAGTGAGAAATAAGGGGACGGGGTGGCTCAGTGGCTAAGACGCTGAGCTTGTCAATCAGAAAGGTCAGCAGTTTGGCGGTTTGAATTCCTAGCGCTGTGTGATGGAGTGAGCTCCCGTTACTTGTCGCAGCTTCTGCCAACCTAGCAGTTCGAAAGCATGTAAAAAATGCAAGTAGAAATTGAGGGACCACTTTGGTAGGAAGGGAACAGCGTTCCATGCGCCTTTGGCATTTAGTCATCCCAGCCACATGACCACAGAGACGTCTTCGGACAGCACTGGCTCTTCAGCTTTGTAATGGAGATGAGCCCCCTAGAGCCGGAAACAACTAGCACCTTCACCTTTTACAGTTAAAAAATTGGCAGGTTTATCTTAGATTTCACAGCTCTGTGAGCAACTCAGAACAGATTGGAAAATGTCAGCTTTGGTTGAAGTAATTCTGAGTTATGGATGGAAGGATAGAGAAGACCAGCCTCTCAGTCAAGGGAAATTGGCAAATCAGTAGTGTGGCAAGATGTAGACAACTTAGCAGCAACAATCAATTATGAGATTATTTGTATAAAGCAAGGGCCCTGTTGGAATGACTTGAAAATAAATTGGTTGATTAACACTTGAATTGATTGGTGGAGGTTTGTTGTCAGTGGGATGGTTAACAAATTATTGAGAGTTGGAATGCCAATTGTTTGTCCTCTGTAGCTCTCTTGTTAGATCTTCTGAGGTCCAGTTCTCTGCTATTTTGGAAATAGGGCAAGCCCTATTATTAGAGAGAGTGTTACCTCCAACAGCAGATACCAAAGGATGAAGGAGGATTGTGAAGTATGGAAGGACAATGCTATGTTGTGCTTCATGGACTTTCCTTACCAACCCTTGGAGGTAGACTGGACAAGGAGCATCAGCTATGAGTACTAACACTGCTACCTTTATTCTAAAATTATAGTAACAGTATCTTGCAAGTCTGGAAGGACATCACTGTCCCTCACCTTTACAAGCCAGAAACTAGGGAGTGTCTCTTCTGAGACGTTTGCCATGCCCTGTTGCTTCTGTGGACTAAGGTGCCTCTTATAGGATCACTGAAGAATTGATGCTTTCGAATTGTGGAGTGCTGGAGAAGACCTTTGAGAGTCTCTTTCGACTGTAAGGAGATCAAATCAGTCGATCCTAAAGGAGATCAACCCTGACTGTTCTTTGGAAGGACAGATATGGAAGATGAAACTCAAATTACTTTGGCCACGTAATGAGATGAGAAGACTCTGATGTTGGGAAAGGCGAAAGGAGAAGGGGATGGCAGAGGATGAGATGGATAGATAGTGTCATCGATGCAATGAGCATGAAGATGGGCAAATTCTGGGAGACTGTGGAAGACCTGAGAGCCTAGTATCTATGGTCCTGGGGTAGCGAAGAGTCGGACAGAGTGACTGAACAACAGCAACAAACATAACATTGCCTAGTCCCGTGATGGCGAACCTATGGCACATGTGCCACAGGTGGCATGCAGAGCCATTTGTGCCGGCACGCGAGCTGCAGGCAAACTTACCTCACTGCACATGCTCGTGCTTCACAGCTGATTTTCGGTCGGTTTGAGGCCTTTTTCGGCCTCCCAGAGGCTTAAAGAAGGCTTCTGCAGGCTTTCCAGGCTGAAAACTAGCCCCGTTTCATCACTTCCTGTTTTTCCGACAATACCGGAAGTGACGAAACGGGACTAGTTTTCGGCCTGCAAAGCCTGCAGAAGCCTGCAGAAGACTTCCTCAAGCCTCTGGGAGGCCGAGAAAGGCCTCAAACCAGCCGAAAATCAGCTGTGAGGCACAGTGCAGGTAAGGGCGGTGGGGTGGGTGGGTGGGTGGGGATTGTGTGTACATGCGTAGGGGGTGTGGGGGTGTGTGCATTGCCTTCTGGGTGCTGGCATGCGAGCACACAAGTGCAAGCACGCTCACAATTTTTGGCACAGGAGCCCAAAAAGGTTAGCCACCACTGGCCTAGTCTATGACTTTTTCTGTTTCTCAAGAACACTCTTACAGAATATTACAGTCCTGAGCTTTAAACTAGGCTGTTTCCTCATTGGCAGGAAATATTACCCAAGCCTGCAGAGGAAGTGAATGCTGACTGCTGGAGTGAACATGACTTTGTCCTGTGTTGTCTTTGCTTATCCGGCATCTCCCCAACCTTGTGAGTTTTGTCATGCCTGCATGTCTGGAATTCTTGCTCCTGCCCTGCCAAACTAACTACCTCATTTTGGCTTGAGTGGACTTATAATTACAGTTTGTGTTGACCATGTTTTGGACTTGATTTGTTGTAGTCAAAGGCTGTTCCTGGGAGAATTTTTCTCCAGCCGGAAGGTAACCTGGACATTGGGGGCAAAGTTGGAGCTAATAAAGGGACTCTTATTGATTATCTGGCTGTGTTGCCTTTGTGCCATGCCCCGGGTCATCACACTTTGAGACTGATGTCAGGACAACTGAATGGAATTGAGAGTTGTTCTTGCTTAAGGGACTAAGTTGGGGCAGAACTGACAGATGGTTTGCAGGCAGGATGGTTTGTAGGCAGGGTGTAATATATGCAAATGGTTTTGAGATAGGGCCACCAAGGAAACAGATAAAAGGCAGTTTAGCCCACAATAGGTGGGGGAGGGGCTCAGAAAAGACCCTTCTTAGGTTGGAGGCTGTAAAGGGAA